GTTTCGGGGTTCACCTGCACTTCGTTGGATTTTCGAAAGTTGTGACCTTTCAGAAGTTGGTGGTCAGTCCTTTCCTTCCATAAACTTCGGTGTGGCATCAGTATTTAATCATTCACACCAGCAGGGAGTCCTTCGAGGCAGGAGGAAGCCTGTGTGCAGCGCAGGCAAGCATGGGGGAGTAGTCATCTTGTGCAGGTCAGCCATAGTCCAGAACACAAGAGGGTGGGGACATTTCCAGGATTCGTGGGCTTGGGTAAATTCCACATGGGCCATCATGATGCACCAAGCTAATTTTTAACATAGCATGATTTAAATTTCCTCATCACATTGTTGTATAATGTGATTGTTCTATTTTCCTGAAACTTACATTCTGTGTGCCAATTCAAAACTAACTTTTCTTCATTTTATAATATTGCTTTTACGTTCAAAGTTGACTTATTATATTGATTCTAAAACATTATGCTATGCTTCTTAATTTTTGAATTTTATTTTTAACCAGATAACCAATTCAAATATAATCTAATGATTGAAGTTAATATATAAATGACAGAAATATGAAACGTTCTTGTAGTAGGATACATACTACAACATTTTGAAATGCTTGAGATTTCAAATTGAAAGGAAAATAATTTGAAATTATTTAGAAGTACAGTGAGTATCTACCATGAACTGAATTTACACCGTGGCTGCAACATGTTCAAACATAACAGCGGTGACGGTGGTGGAGGACTGTGGTTCATTCGAGGGTATGAGGGCCACTAGAGTTGGAGCTGACTCAGCTTCACTTAGTAGCCACAACTGTGAGAGAGTATAAGTACGAAGATCATTGATTGTAAAGAATCAAGATAGAATTGTGGGAGTGGACAGGCCTAGGCTGGTAAATTAGTAATTATGAAGTAATGTGGGAAGTGGAATAGTAAAGACTCTCCTGAACTGTAATGGTGTCAGATGAAGGGGACTAAATGTAAGGGTATGTTCTGAAATAGCATGTGAAATTTGGGTGGCCTTTGACAAAGGACTTTCATGTACTGTGCAAACAGCGCAGGATTAGAGGCCTCTGTCCAGATGGAGCTGTGAGCACCAGGGGCGGAAGGATGGGACCGTTATAGAAAACATAAGGGAGGACAAAATAGTGTAGTAGCGATCGGTTGAGCCGCCAGGATTCCTTCTGATGCAGATTAGAATCTCTTTTCCCTTAGATATATACCATTTTTAAAATGAAAATCTCTATGTGTGTCCATTGCTGGTGTTTCAGTGATTTTTGGTGGGAATATCAATAAGCAAACAGTCTAAAATATCTTAACAGTAGAAAATACAGGATCAATATATCAGTGTATAACCTGCTATATAAATCCATCCTACAGAATTGTTTAATAAATGTTCCTATTATTGCAACACGTTGAACATTTTTCAACTAATTTACTTATGTGTCCCATAATAAAGGCTAACTAGGTTATAATAGCATACACCATACATTTCACTGTAGTTGATAGAGATTAAAAACAATAGATTACAGTTTAGCCATATTTAAGAAATTATCTAGATATTGCAAAAACTTTCCTATATTTCAAAGTTTTAGGTGTACACCAAATATCGTTTTGGGCCACTCTGAAGTGTTGAAGAGCAAGGATGTCACGTCAGGGACTAAGTTGTGCCTGATTCAAGCCATTGCGTTTCCAATGGCCTCAATATGCAAGTAAAAGTTGCACAGTGAATGAGGCACATCACAGGAGAATTGATGCATTTGAATTCCCGTATTGGAAAAGAAAATGGAAATTACTTTGGACTTCTAGAAGAACAAATAAATCTGTTTGAAAAAAGTACAACCAGTATGCTCCTTAGAACAAGGATGGTGAGACTTTGTAGCACATATTTTGGACATGATCTCAGGAAAGACCCGTCTGTGGAAAAGTAGAAGCTTCGTGAAAAAGAGTAAGACCCTTGGCTAGGTGGATTGACAGAGGGGCTGCAACAATGCACTCGAGCATAAACAGTGGTGAGGATGCTGCATATCCAGACCGTGTTTCATTCTGATGTACAAAAGTGCACCGTGAGTCACAATTGACTAGCTGGGACCTAGCAAGAGGAACAAGAAGATTGAAAACCCATTTTTGTCTTGATTTAAGATTAAGAAAAATGTACATTTTTAATTGAAAAAAAATCTATTAATGGGTTTAAGGAACTCAGGTGGCATAATGGCTTAACTGCTAAGCTCAAGGTTCAAATGTGGGAGAAAGAAGTTTCTGCTGCCTTAAAGATTTACAGTCTTTGAAACTCTAAAGGCCAGTTATAGTCTATCCTATAGAGTCACCATGAGTCCACGTTGATTCCAGGACAGCAGATTATTATTATTACTAATGTTCTTGGAAAAAAAACCCCAAAGAACACTTTGAAGTCTATAATTCACTATGTATTAAAAATTGATATTCTTGAAATACTTTACATTATTTTCACTACAGCTTTTTGCTGACATTTAAGTTAAATGTTGAATTACGAAAGCCACTATGTGTTAGGAGGAATCAGCTATATCGCTAGATAATTGCTGTCCCCAAAGTTTAGCAAAGGATAATGATAACTTAGACATTATATTTGGATAGCAGTACAATTGACAAGCAATGGCAGCTGCTTGTCATACTGATTCTGACTCACGGAAGCCCACGTATGCAGAGTAGAACTTCTCCATATGCTTCTCCAGCCTCGGACATTTTAGAAGCACGTCAGATATGCTTCTGGGTGGTTTCCAGCCTTCGACCTTGCAGTCGAGTACCTAACTCTTTGTGCTCTCCAGGAGCCTGGCATTGTCTTGGTAGTTGTTTTTGGCAACTACCCTCAAGTCAGTTCTGACTCCCAATGACTCTACAACAGAACGCAACACGAGCCCATCCTGCACCATCCTCAAACATTGTTATGTTTGAGCCCACTGTCGCAGCCACTATGCCCATCCATCTGGTGGAGGGTCTGCTACTTTTTGCTGACTCCGACAAGTATGTGTGATTTTGCAGGGATTGGTTCTCTTGACAACAGGTCCAAAGTATGTGGGGTGAAGTCTCGTCATCTTTGAAGTATTCTGGCTGTACTTCCAAGACAGATGTTTGTTCTTCTGGCTGTTGGCAGTCCATGGCAGTTTTAATCATGTTCTCCAACACCATATTTCAAATGCATCAATTCTTCTCCAGTCTTCCTTATTCGTTGTCCAATATTTTATTAAGTAAATGTGAAAATAATTAAAAAATGCAGAAAATGGATAATTTAGCTCTGTGTTAGTCCAGGTGGACTAGAGAAACAAATCCAGGGAGACTCTTATATGTGTATAAGAAAGAGGTTTATATACAAGAGCAATTGAATATTGAGAAAACCTCCCAGCCCAGTTCAGATCAAGTTCATAAGTCCACTATTAGTCCATATGTCTGATAACAAACTATAAAGACCTCTTCAGACTCATGAAACACATACAATTTCACTGAATTCAGGAAGATCACAGGCTAGTGGGTTGGGAATCTTGTGGATCCAGTGGCATTGTAAGCATCTCAGTGCTGGCATGGGTCTCCACGTGGCTCCTCCAGTTCCCAGAGCACGAAATGAGGTGAAACAATTAACTTTGACATACAATTAAAAATCATTTTTTGCCAACTCTGATATAACTATTGCTTCACCTTTAATGCAAGAATTGCTTTTCAAAACTTTTCTTAGAAAACACAATTTTATCCAAATATCTCCTGCCACTAAGCTCCAGATCATTAAACTTCTGAGCACCATTTAATATCTGCATGGTCCAATAAGACATCTAGCAAAGATACAATGTTTGGTTCAACAAAGTCTCATTCAGAAAATTCAATAGCATTTACTTCTCCTGACTTGTTATGTATCTGTAATGTGTGTAAGTAGAGGTTTTTAGGAATTGAATGCCAGAGGAGGTGAAATTCTTTTACGTTGTGCTCTTTCTGCCACTCGTTAATCTACTGTTGCTTTGATTGATCCCAGTGGCCGAGAAGACCAAAGAGCAGGTGACGAATGTTGGAGAGGCGGTGGTGACAGGTGTGACAGCCGTAGCACAGAAAACGGTGGAAGGAGCAGGAAATATTGCAGCTGCCACTGGCTTTGGCAAAAAAGATCAGACGGGCAAGGTATGTTTGGATCCGTCGCACGGTATATTTATTCGATTGTGAGGTCTTGTGACTGTTCACAGGAGTCACAGAACAGGAGTAAGGTGCTTCTTCTGGGTGGAAAGCTGACTGAACCTTCCCCCTCCCCAACCTCCGTAAAAGTGCTTTCCTTAGCCATGCATTGTGCTTTTGATGTAGTGACTGTGTTACATATCATGATGGTACAATACAACAATTGTTTCGTTTTCTGGAAGACAGTTTAGGAAATGAGCCATGGAGTAACTGCTGAAAGGAGCAGTGGCATTTCAGAAAGAATGGGTGTTTTCAGTTAGCACTGAATCTTGAAATTTCTCTTTGTTGGACTCTGACTGATCTCTGTGTGAATAGCTAACATTTCAAAAGAAAGATCCTTTGACCACATTTCTTTAGAGTGACATCGTTTCATATTACATTTAGATACATTCTTATTACATAACAGTTTAATGCTAAATGTATGTTTATGGGAACTGAGACTGACTGCACACCAACCAGAGAGTCGCGACGTCTGGAGGTTTGAACATTCTCAAAAGAATGTTGACTTTGTATTCCTTCAGAAATAGAATCATGACATCGAAGGGTATTAGGACTTTTATTTTAAGGACGTAAAATGTTACTGAAAGATGAGATATTAAACAGGCTATCGTAAGCAGCAATTTTCCAACTTTTATGACAACAGGAGAATTATTTTTCTTTTTCCTGACACCATGCCATCCTTGCCCTGAACAGTGACAAGCTAGGTGCTGCTCCCTTGGTTCCGATGCACAGTGATGCGGCACATAGGTTGAAACATTGCCGCGCTCCGTGCCATCCTCACAATTAGGTCTGTGTGAGCCCTTTGCTCCGTGGGTGCCCTCTGTTGTCCGAGGCATGACGTCCTCCTCTTAATATCTGGTAGCTCCTAATAACACCCCCACGTACGAGAACCAGCCCCGCCTCCTTGCTTTTAGGGCGCATTCTGGCCATACTTTTCCAACACTGCTTTGCTTGTTCTTCCTGCAATTCATGACACATTCAGTGTTCTCTGCAACACCATAGTTCAAGTGCCTTGATTCTTGGCTTGCCTGCCTGATTCATTGTCCAGCTCCACGAGGAACTGGATGTATGATGCTTGAGTCAGACATGCTTAACTTTCAACGCGACATGTTTGCTCTTGCACACTCCACAGGAAGCATTTGGGGCAGATTTGTGTTCTATAAGCCTGCCTTTTGCTCTTAAGAGGGCATACACTCAAGTATGTGCTAGAAGAATAAAACAAAGGCAGGACATGAAAAATAAAAGATTTGACATTTTGATCTATAATGGTTCTATGTCCTCTGCTTATTCCCTTTGACTTGCTAGGGCTGTTGTGTTTTGCTTGAAGGGAAATAATTTTACACACTTGAGTGATGTAGACCTCCTGATTAAATGATTAATCAGAACGTTGGAAGTTGCCTTCAGCTGATTCATATCACACTGACTTCACCAAAAAGCCACAGGCAACCTTCCCAATACCTTGCAAGAAGCACAGACCAATAATAATTTATAATCTTGACGACTGTCATTCTACATGATATCAGAAGATAACCAACAGGAATACTAATCATATTTATACCTAGAGTAGAAGTTTTGGAGGACTATGAAATGTCTGAGTTGTATCTTTGGTAGGAAGGGCAAAGTCTATTAATAGCACTACCATCCTAGATTAAAGCCTAACATAGTAATTTAAAAATTCTTTCAAAAGTTATAAAATCAGTAACATTTTCAATGTGGTATGTAAAAACAATATATCAATGTTTTCTACTCACGTGAGTTTTCTAATGCTACATAAATATCCCCATTTAGAAAAAGATCTGTTTCAATGGCTGTTCTTTGTATCTGATAATATTTTGCTAGGTCCTAAATGGATGAGCAGTGGTTTGTAATTCCTCTTAACCCTGTAAAATGTTAAATGTATGTAATGATGCGTAAGGTTGTGAGGAAAATAAGCTGACTCTGATCATTAAGGAGCATGTTGATGCTGCTGGGTAGGTAAGAACTGACCTAATCACAAGGGGGCATTTGTACTTCACTAGCTGCTCCAAGGGAGAAAGACAGGCTGTCTGCTCCTGTAGAGAGTTACGGTCCTGGAAACCCTTTATTGTAGCGGTTCTCAACCTATGGGCTGTGACCCCTTTGGGGGTCAAACGACCCTTTCATAGGGGTCACCCGATTCATAACAGTAGCAAACTTACAGTTATGAAGTAGAAACAAAAATAACATTATGGTTGGGGGGTCACCACCACATGAGGAACTGTATTAAAGGGTGGCGGCAGTAGGAAGGTTGAGAACCTCTGCTTTATAGGTTCACTAAGAGATGGACTTGACTTGATGTCAGAGGGTGGTATGTTCGCAGTAAAAATAAATAGCATCGATATATTTTGTGACTATTTTAAGTACGCTATATAATGGCCTGGATATTATGGGGGCATAAAAATAATTAGCAAATGGGTGCTCTCTGTCTCCAAGATATATGCTATCCAGGCTGCTTGTCTAATTGCCTCCACAAGCCATTCTTTTGTCTGTTGTCTGTCTACTACCAGTGAAGGTTTTGATCAAAAACCCCGTAGATGGATCCTGACCAAAAGAAGAGAAAATATATAACAGAACATTAAATTGCTATGGAAACCAGAAGTACTGGCTCCATTGACACTGGGAGAATCCCTGAATCGGTTATCCTGATATAATCTTTGATTTTTGAATTGAATTCATCCCATGAAGTCATCTGTAAGCAAATCAACAGTTTAGCTCAATTAATAAAGAGTGTCGGCATAGAACAGTTGACTCAAAGAATTGTTTATGTGAACTCCTACTGACGCAGATGAGAACTTCCAGGGATGTGAGGAGTGACACTGTTCCACTGGTGACACAAGATGAATCATGTAATCGATAGCCTTGATCTCTACATGCAGGGATTGTGGAAGGGATGTATGCAGGGTGTGCATATTTTAACAAGCATTGTTTAAAGATTAAACTGAAATTTTTTTTAACATTTTATTAGGGGTTCATACAACTGTTATCCCAATCCATACACACATCAATTGTGTAAAGCGCATTTGTACATCGTTTCTCAAAACATTTTCTCTCCACTTAAGCCCCTGACATTAGGTCCACATTTTCCCCCTCCCTCCCCGCTCCCCCCTCCCTCATCAGCCCTTGATAGTTTATAAATGGGTATTTTGTCATATCTTGCCCTGTCCGACGTCTCCCTTCACCCACTTTTCGGTTGTCTGTCCCCCAGGGAGGAAGTCACACACAGCTCCATGTAATCGGTTCCCTCTTTCCTACCCATTCTCCCTTTACCCTCCCTGTTTTGCCACTCACACCACTGGTCCTATAGGGCTCATCCGTCCTAGATTCCCTGTATTTTAAACAGAATTTTTTAAAAGAGTGATTGAAATGTACTCTTCAGACAAAGAGCCTGTCATCTTTACCCTGGAAAAACAGGTCTTAGAAAATAGGATGTATTTGGAATAGGTATGCCTACATCCATCATAGAAAAAAGGAAAAGTGTCTCATAAGTAAGAGAGATATTTTCTCCCCTTAAATACATTTTTTATGGTTTCTGTCAGTAGACCATGAAATTACAGTGCACAGATAGAGGTGAGAGCCACACTGTGTTCGCTGTTTAGAAACAGAAACAGCAAGTACTTCCACCCCGACCTAAGTCAGAACTCCATAGCCAGTAAGCGCCATGACCCTCCAGTGTACACAGGCCGACACAGCCCAGTTTAGCCGTCAAAGGACCGATCGTGGCGATCGTTTTATTAGTTAGGGGGCGTCTATTATAGGAGGAGTGTGATGAAACTGCTTCAAGGAATACCACCAAGCAGCTTTCAAATCATAGTGTGTAATTAGCCAATTCCCTCATCAATGCTCACTATGGATTACAATTGTGCTGAGGATAATGGGAGGCTAATGGCAATATTATCATTAAGAACACATTCTCATGGTATATGTCCTAATGTTTATTGCGTTTGCCCTTTCATATTTAGATGCAACAGGATATTATTCATAGTTTGATTAACCAGGTACTGGAGTCGTTATCCAGGAGCCCTAACTATCTTGGGGTTTAAATGGTGGGCTGCTAACGACAGGGTCAGCTGTTCAAACCTACCAGCTGTTCTGCAGCGGAAAATGAGGTGTCTGCTCCGGTAAAGATTTACAATGTTAGAAACCCTATATAAGGCTGCTATGAGTTGTACTTGACTCAATGGCAGTAAGTTTTGTCAAACTTACGTATGATCATTTCAAATTTACTTTTGCTTATTTATTGATTTTTTTTTTTAACCATCGATACTATCTGAGGTAAACCTACTCACGAGACGGACTGATGGGTGGCTGTAGGAGTGGGCCCAGGCATGACATCAGTTGTGAGGGATACAGAGTTGGGCAATGTTCTGTTCTTTTGTACATGGGGCGACCATGAGCAGGGACCAGCTGGGCAGCACCTAGCAACAGCATACCGCCTGTGCCACACTTTGATCATATGATGAACTCCCTGGTTATCTTAGAAGACAGTTATATGACATGTTTAAATGACAGTCCTAGTAGGAAAAAGAAAACAACCATGTTGTCATGGGGTCAGTTCTGACTGACAGTGACCCTCTAGGACAGAGTAGCATACTAGGGGACCCTGGGTTATAGTCTTTATAGAAGAAGATTGCCATAGCTTTGTGCTGCAGAGCTACTGGGGAGTTCAAACTCAAAACTTCCAGGATTAACCAGCACACACCACTCTGGCAGAGCTTTTTATAAGGAAATAACCCCCAAATGTCCCTGCCAATGAATTGATTCTGACTCCTCGTGAGCCTACATAGGGTTTCTGAGACTATAGATCTTTATAGGAGCCGATGGCCTCATCTTTGGCCCTGAGAGTGGCTGGTGGGTTTGAACTGCTGACCTTGTTAACAGTCCAATCTTCATCTGTAAGCCCCAGCAGGGCTTCTTTTTAAGGGAATGGATGT